GTGGGAAAATCCACCTGAGAGGACATGTACCTGTATATAAAAAACGCGCCCTATAGTCCGGTGCGCCTTATGTGTGTGTTAAATACAGAAATGGCACACATAACTGAGGCTGCGCCTTTTAGTCCGGTGCGCCTTATGGTCGTGAAAATACGGTACTTCTTTGTTTATATGTATATTTGAAAAAAATTGTTGGAAACTTTTGTTAGCTTGCACAAATTTCAGGTAATGTCAAAATTCTGGCTGATTCTCAATATGTGTACTTGTGCATTCTCATGTGCTCATGAAACAGCAGACTTCTTTACCCAGCATGCATCAGAGTATACTTGTCCATTCTTGAAATTGACAGCTGTCCCAGCATGCACTGCAGCAGCAACAGCTTTCAATGGAGGGCTCACAGAGCTCAGAGTATTAAGTTAAAACATATCTTTTCTGTTGCAGTTGTTCAACAAAAGTCCCTTTTTGAGGCGAGAACATTACACTTTTAAGCGTCACTATATGGCCCATTAACCGATTTAATACGTAATAAAAAAAAAAATCAGAAGTTAAGAGGACCGAGGCAACCAGCGGACCTCCAAGTGTAATGGCAGCCACAGTTTACCCGTCTGCAGCAGCCCTCTCTCAGCCTAGCCATGTGTGAAGGACCGCTGGCTCTGATGGAGAGTTTTTTTTGTTTTATTTGGCAAAATGTTCATTTGATTTGTGTTTATCTGACTGTGTTCATCATTATTCCCCCACTAAATGAAAAAACTAAGAATTTATCATTATCTAGAGGTTATTAATAATAGGAAGTGAAATGTAGCTCCTTTCCTGTGTTCATCTCAAGAACATATTTGGCGAGAACACGAGGACGTACTTGCGTTCTTGTCAATTGAGAAACGGCCTCTGATTTGAATTATGCTAGCATTAGAAGACATATCCAATATCTCACATATTGCTATTCAAAACAAGAAATAATGTAATGACAGGCCGTTCTATTCTGCTTAGATAGTGCAGAGGCATGTCTGGAAGAAGAAAGCCATTTGAATCCCCAAGCTTACTGCTTTTAGGACACAAACTTCTTTAGAGTCACTGCCATGATGCTGGTCTTCTGTATCTCAGTTGGTTTGAATTCAACAGGGAGGTTTGGCAGGGGAGAAAAAAAAAAAAAACCTCCATTGCAGAGTTTATTGGAAAAGCTGCCGCCACAACAAAGCAGTTTCACCTGCTGACACTAATTACCAGACAAAAAACACAGGTGAGATTATCACCACAGGTGTGAAAGGAATGCTGATGAGACAGACTGCAGGGTTTCCATGACAACAGACAGTGGGCACTAATGTCTGTGTATTCTGGATTAACAACTTTGATGGCTTCAATGCATAGCTTTGGGTTTCTTTCATCAATATAATTTTTTTCCCTCATTCTTTTAAAATAAATCATTGTTAAAGTAACCATTTAATAATAACTGTAAATCAGCAGACTTGATTCTTCAGCATAGAAGTCAACCCTTTATCAGAACTGGATACTGCCGATCTTATTTAAGCAGTACACAATTTCTTAAAAAGAAATCTAACCAGATGTCTGATACAATGCTATTTTCTGCTGCTTTATTTTTCCATAAACGAGAAGTTTAACTTTGATAACAAATGTGACCTTTTTTGTTGAATACCATGGCTTTTACAGGTTAATTACCAAACAATTATTCTAACTAATATGCAGACTTAAGTGATTTGTTGTTTATGGCAACATATACAGAAGATTGTGAATCATTTTGGGGGGATTTAAAAAGGCCAAAAGTAAAGAGACTTTCTTTTTTGAACAACCAAAACGAATCACCCAAAATTGTAAATTTTCTTAACAAACCTTCTCTGATGTTGAGGTGCAATTAGCACATTCGATATGATACTGAATTGAAACATCTTATTTATAGACAGAACATAAGCCTGAACTTAAGATGAGCCTCCAGCTCATCTGGAGCTACATTTCTTTTCCTGTTATTATTAGTCTCTAGATAATTATAAATCATTACTTTTTTCATTTAGTTGGGAAATAATAATTAATACAGACAAACAAATCAAATTAATATTTTGGCAAATAAAACAAAAAAAAACTCTATTAGAGCCAGCGGTGCTTCACACACGGCTATGCCAAGAGGCGGCTGCTGGAGACGGGCTAGGATTAGACCTGGCTACTGATAGCTTTGGAGGTCCGCTGGTTGCCACGATCCTCTAAATGTCCAAACTTTTTATTTTTTATTACCCACTAAACAAGTAAATGGAGCATATAGTGAAGCTTAAAAGAATAATGTACGCTCTGTGAGTGCCCCACTGGAAGCTGCTGCTGCCGCGGTGCATGCTGGGAAAACTGTCAATCTCTTATTTGTAAAATTTTTGCCAGTAGGAGCTACAGCTCATCCAACATGATTTTCCACATAGTTACAAATGTTCTTAGGTGCAGAAAAATGTGCAAATGCTAAACAGACAGAATCTGGCCATGAACCTCGTTACTCGTCAAACAGAAACCAGGCTTTTACTCCAGTCCAAAAACAAGCACCACAAAAAACACATTTATTTGCATGAATAAAAGGAGAGACAGAATAGGGGCTTTTAAAAGGGATGTGGATATAAAAAAAAGGGAAGGCTGAAGTTCAGCTAGATGAAGGGGCCTTCTGACTATACATAATATCCATCTTTAATATAGCGTTTTGATTGTTTGCGAGACTGGAACCATAGCGTATAGATGCATTGGTGCTGAACTACTGAGGTAGCAGTCTGCTCATTAAACAATGTTTTTGTCAAATAAAAAGGCTCTTTTTAAAGCTTTTTTTCAGTAAAACCTTAAATGATGTATTTTAATGAATGGTGTTTTGGTAAAATCACACATGCCTAGTTTTAAAAGCTATAGTATGGTAGGCCTTTGTACTCAGCTACAATATCCGTCTGCATTGGACAATAATGCTATAGGAACTGGCCCACCTGCTGCTGCGGTTTGTGCTCGTCTGTTTATCCTGCAGATCAGAGCTGTGCTCTTTTGTTTAAGGGCTAAAGCCCCCAAAAACACTGAATTCAGTGCTTCATTTAGTAAATGTGACTGCATTTTAAATTATATGTCAACAATGGAGAAAAATAGAAGATCAAGTTGTGGGGGAAAAAAGGCAAAGAACGCTAATGTGAAGACCGACAGCAAACAGAGCAAGATTTACTTTATTAGAATACACACAGCACTAAGCTCTTTAAAAATATATATAACCAATACTTTCTGGCTGACAGCATTTACCCAAGATAAAATCTTTGCATGTAGATCACCGAGAAATTGTAGCACCATCATTATTTATTTATTTATTAAAGGTATCCGCTTGACAACTAAGCGGATACCTTTTACCTTGAATTTGGACAAACTTTAAAAAGGAAATCAGATCTCATTTTAATATTGTTGCTAGATACTTGCAGAGAAAATTCTGGACTCCAGTTCAGATAACAGATTCCTAAACTCACCAGAGAAGTTTGTCTGACTCTTTACTGACTAGAAAAGACCGACCTGGACAGTTCATGGAGAATATTTCAAGTAAAAAGGAAAACCAGAGATAAGATAAAGAGTAAAAAACATGACATGCAAGATGTAAAATAAATATTTTTAAAGGCTTGGAGATTTACACTAGGGGTGTGCAAAA